GAATAGGTTTTCCATACCTTTTCCTTTCTCCTCCCCTTCTGATTAGAATGTTTGTGCACTTAAGATTGCCTGCTGACTCTCTTAGATTTTCTCAATTTCAAAAAATCCTTTCTTTCCTTTTTTTTTTTGTTTTTTTTTTTGTTTACCTGGGTTATTTTGAAAAGACTGTCTTCAAGCTCAGAAATTCTTTCTTCTGCTTGTTCTAGCCTGTTGCTTATGCTACCTGTTGCATTTTTTATTTCATTGAGTGAAGCAGTTCCATGAGTTCTTCTACATTCTTTTAGAAGGTATTAATCTCTTTGTAAATTTCCTCCTTCATATCCTGGATATTTTTTCTTATTTCATTATGTTGTCTAACAGAGTCATCTCATATCTCAATGTGTTTTCTTAAGATTGTTTCCCAGAATTCCTTTTCAGTCATTTCAAGTGTTTCTTGCTCTATAGGGTCTGGTATTTGAGAATTACTCTTTTCTTTTGATGGTGTCATGTTTTCATGGGTTTGCATTTCAAGAATCTCTATGTTGATTTCTGGTCATCCAGTAGAGTAGTTGTTTTCTTGTCTTCACTGTTGACTGTCCTTGTGTCAATGCAGTCAAGTGTCTGGTGGGCTGCATGCACAGTGGCTATAGCCACTGCTGTGGCATTGAGTTACTTTTTGGCAGCCATAGCTGTGGTGGTGGCTGTGGTGGGCCACCTGTGTGGAAGTGGTATGTTAAGCATGCTCCTTGACTGCTTCCAGGTGGGGAATGCTGCCCTCGGCTCCTCCTAGGGCCCTGGAGTGCTCCGCTGTGGGAAGAAGGGACAGCTGCTCTTGGCTCCTGCCTAGGGCCCTGGTCATGCTCTACTTTTTGCTTGCTTCCAGGCAAAGGTGGTGGCTATCCTCAGCTTCTGCCTAAGACCCTGGGCCTGCTCTCCAGCTTTGTTTTTTAGTGTAGAAGGAAGTCTACCATGGAGCCTCCTCTCTAGAATTTACCGAACATAAGGTTAATGATTAGCTGAGACTTACTTGAATTGCAGTATTACAATTCCAAATTTCTAGGAAATACATGTTGTTGGCTTATCAACAGTCATGTGCCCACTCCAGTATACTATGCTTATAAGAGTAGGGCCACTATTACAGTGATGGATGTCACTACTGTGGAGGAAAAGGATCCTCAGAGGTCAGGAGTCATTGTGAGCAGGAAAACAGTCCATATTGTGTTCATTTTATTTGCTCACTTACTCACTCACTCACTTTTCCATGATCGTTCAGAATGGTTTCAGTGGTTATATTGTTACTGGAAACAGGTTCAGCTTTCCCCCTCTCACTAAAAGGACTCAAAAGTCCAAAAACTGGTGCAAGGATTGGAAGCTTTTTATTCAGATAACCAGCACCTGGGGACTGAGCAGGCTAAAATCATCCTGTCTTCTGATGCTTGTTCTGCGGAAGAGGCAGGAAGATGAAGTAAGGGTTTTGTCCTGCAGGCAAAGGTGGAGGCTGGTCTTGGATCAGCAGGGAGTCTGAGTCAGATATCAGGGTCCCATGATGGACTAGGGAGGTGCTTTGGTGTCACAGAGTCTGAATTTGATGGACTGGTCAGCTTCAAACCCTTGATGTTATTTCAGCGTTGGAATCCTTATTGCCTAGGGAGAGATCAAATACAATAACCTCAGTCAAGCATCCCTGTACCGTTAAAATACTTGACTCATATCTCTAACTACTGTGAGTGCTATTTTCCTTTAAGCAAGAAGGCGAGTTAATAATCAGCTGCGGCACTTTGCTTTTCTCTTGGAATTCCTTTGTTTGCAGTTGATTAGGAAAGGAAAGAACAAGAAAACTTAGCTTCAATTCTTTATTGTAGGTGCATAACATCTAAGATAAATCATTATAAGAGGGTGTAATGAGAGATAAACAGAGACAGACTTTTGTAAAGGATCCTTTTGGGGCACGATTTCATCTGCAGGTAGTTTCAACCATGTGGTTAGCTTCTCAATTTCTCTGCTAACCTCAAGGAATTGATGATTATCAGTTCCTAAGCTAATAGCTAACTGAATTTTTTGGTTGGTCTTAGTTACCTCAAAGATGGCTGTTTTCTGGATAAGATCCCTGTCAATATTAGACACTGAGTGACAAATTTTAGAAAGTAAAGTAATGCATTCTTCCAATGAGTCACTCAGATTGAAGCACTAAAGTATGTGTCCAAGCCAAACTCAGGCTTGTGATGTATTAGCAGACTACTAAGGCAGAGGTGAATTTTATGCTAGAGTATGATGGGTTTTCCAAAAAGAATGAGGGCTGATAATGTGTCCCTATTTTTCTTAAACAGGCTTAGGGCATTTTATTTTCAAAATAGTATTTGGATACCACTGCTTTGCTTAGAGAATTTAGAGATAGGTCTGCATTTTTGCTTGTTATAGGGTAACAAAAGGGAGTATGACCTTCTAAAAACTAATTCTGACTTTGAAATTTGTGCAGTAAAATGACATCCTTTCAAAGGGCATGGCGATCATGCATATTAGTTAGGATTCTCTGGAGAAACAGAACCAGTAGCATATATGAGGATATTTATCAAGATAATTGACTCATGTCATTATGAGGCCAAGTAGTACCACAATATCATCTGGAGGACTAGGAAAGATGATGGTGTAACTCAGTCTGGGTCCAAAGACCTGAGAATCAGGGGAGCTGATTGTGTAACTTACAGCCTGAAGCTGAAGGCACGAGAGCCAAGGTGGAGGAGGGGTGCTGGTGTTAAGTCCCAGAGTCTGAAGGCCTAAGAACAAGCAGCTGATGTCTGAGGGCAGGAGAAGACAGTGATACAGCTCAAGACGCAAGAGAGGATTTACTCTTCCTTCACCTTTTTGTTCTATTTGGGCCCTCAGTGTATTGGAGGAAGCCTGCCTACATTGGCAAGGACAATCTTCTTTATTTAGTCTACTAATTCAAATCTAATCTCTTCCTGGAATATTGTCATGTACATTTCCAGAAATAATGTTTTACCAGCTATCTGGGCATCCTTTAGTCCAGTCAGGTTGACACGTAAAATCAACCACCACATTGTGTAATGTCAGGGACTAACTAGCAGTAAACCTAGTGGTGGTCAGAGGCAGAGTGAGGAATGATGGTTGGCATCCAGGAGGAGGCAGCTGAGGAGGAGGCAACTGCATAATATGGCATGGGGAGACACAATAAATTCACTTCCTTGTTCCCACTTTTGTCCTCCACCAATATACTAAACAGAAAAAATTTGAAAGCAGCAGCTAAATTTTATTTTCAGTCACATGGCAATTTCTAGGGCTATGCCAGCAGGGTTACATATCCAAGCAGTAGTAATTTGTTAAAGACCATGATTTTTTTCTCTTTAAACTGTTTGTCTTATTATAGATTGTTGTATGAACAACAAACTCATGTACCAAAGGATTTTATTCATATGAAGGATGACAAAAATGAAATTGATCCAGCTAAATATTTTGAAAACAGTACATCTGCATGTGCCATTGTTCCACGTCAGGAAATCCTTTTTTAAATGTTTGTTAGATGCAGGACATGACTTTTTCAATGGCTTTTCTCAGAGCATTCTTTACCTCTTGATTCCTCAAGCTGTAGATCATGGGGTTCAGCATGGGAATGACCATTGTGTAGAACACAGAGGCCATTTTGTCTGTGTCAAGGGAATGGTTTGCTTTTGGCTGCAGATATATGAATATCAGAGTTCCGTAGAATATAGTCACAGCAGTCAGATGAGAGGCACACGTTGAGAAAGCCTTACACCTCCCTTCTGCAGACTGGATTCTCAAAACAGCAGCCACAATGTACAAGTAAGTAATAAGGATGGTGGTTAGTGAGCTGATCATGTTGAATCCAGCAAAGATGAAAATCGGGATCTCTTTGAGGCGGGTGTCTGAGCAGAAAAAACCCAGCTGTGTTGCACATTCATAGAAAGATATAGATTTGTGCTTGGTCAGGAGGGTCTGCAGGAACTTGGGGGCTACTGATGAGGAATAACAAAGGTCTACAAAGGCCAGGTTACTGAGGAAAAAGTACATGGGTGTGTGAAGTCGAGAATCCAACCTGATTAAAGAAATCATCCCAATGTTTCCTACCAAAGTTAGAGCATATACTGCTAAAATGAGCAGAAAGAGAGTAATTTCAATCTCTCTATGTACTGAAAAGCCCAAAAGAATGAATTCTGCCACCCAGGTGCTATTTCCTTCAGCCATTTATTTGAGTCTCTTATCTGCTGAAAGAAGAAAAGACAGGACAAGAGACAAATTATTGGGAAGTAGGCATTGTAATCAGATGCCAACTCGTGAGTGTTTCAGCTTATGAGATGATTTTGTTCACTAAAGTAGAATATCAGAAGTAAAAAACATATCCCATTTTAAACTCTGTTCTTTGGCTGTTTATAATTTTATGTGGCCAAATATTAAGGGCCAAAAAGAAAGAAATCAATTGAACTTGACATAGTAAAGGTAATCACACCAACCAAAAATCCTGTGTTTCTAAAGATATTTAATAGTTTAGATTGAAATAACTTTGAATTATATTGGATAAGGAGAAAAACACAATTTTCTGTTTTCAGCTCCCTTATTTTATTCTTGATGGAGCAAAATCTTAGTGCACTAATTTGCTAATTTTCGAATAGGTTTTTTCCCCCTATTTTATCAAATACATTAAAAATTATACTAAATGTAAAATTAAGCAGTGTATTCAATGAGAGAAAAAAGGAAGCCACTAAACATTTCTACTTGTGGATCAGGAAAATTTTGAATTTACATGTAACTAATTTATTGTCAACAACTGCTTTTCTAATAATAAACAAAAATGCACTTGTAAGTAAGGCTAGAATATCTATTTTTTAAAACTGATAGTTCTCTAAATTGTGTAAACTATAGCATTCTACGTCAATTACTCACACCATTTATAATCAGAAATGTTTTCACAATATCTGGTTTATTCTCAGTGAAACAATAGTATAAATCCCTGCTTTTAAAATGTAGTAATCTCTTTGACAAGAGAAAGAATAATTATTTTCAGCAAGTAACCCTCCTGTCGTAGGTGATTTTGGAAGTCATTGTTGAAGCAATGACCTTTATTTCCACAATTGTGAATATATCAATATGACCTCTTGGTCTGTGCTTAGGGGTCCAAGCTATCATGCTGTCTGCAACTTGGGTAGTGTTGCAGTGCAATCTGAGAAACTATCAGAAGGGAGCGGGGAAAGGAGGTACAGCCAGAGCATGAACACTTTTCCTGAGGTTGCGAAAAGTCACTTCTTATTTGGACTTTGTTTCATAGGAAGTACAAAGCCATGTTCTCCAATCACCACCACTTTAGAAATATATCCTTAGGTGCTTGGCCCTCAGTGCCTCCTACGCTGGTACTTAACTCTCCTGTGGTTATCACAACCTGCATAGTGAGGTTATTGGGAGTAATATGCCCTTTCCACCTCTGAGGCTGAGAAATTTGGGAGGAAACGTAAAAGATAAGAAATTCTCATCATATCAAATTCCACAAAAATTGTAAAGTGTATAAAATAGAAAAATAATTCCCTTTCTTTCCCAAACATGTTGTTCAGAGGGGAACTTTCTTCTAATAGTTTAGTGTGAGTGGTCAGAAAATCTGTCCTTTAATTTTCTCTTCTTTTTCTGTTCACCAAGCTTAATATTATAATTGGCATCTCATGTGTTCTCCAAAAAACAAAACTAACATATACCAGGGTAATTCAAAAACTTTGTGGAAAAGTAAAATTAGAAGATGATTCAGGGCCAGCCCGGTGGCGCACTGGAGAGTGCGCCGCTTGGGAGCACGGTGGCGCTCCCGCTGAGGGTTCGGATCCCATGTGGAGACCGGTTCCCGCTCACTGGCTGAGTGCGGTGCGGGCGCAACACTGAGGGTTGCGATCCCATTACTGGTCAGTAAAAAAGACAAAAAGGAAAAAAAAAAAAAAGAAGATGATTCAAATCTTTCCATGAACTTTCTGAAGACACTTTGTGTGTGTGTGTGTGTGTGTGTGCGCATTTATATATACACACATGAAATCTGACACAAAACAATTTTCTCCCTTAATTATTTATTTTCTACTTGGTGGAGCCAAAGCCCCCTTTGTGAGAAGTGTGTCAGGATGAAACTGTTGAACTGACTTGTCTCCTGAACTGGCATCTCACCACAGCTGCAAGTGCTGCCGCTCACCATTCTGGGTGCAGGATAAAAGAGGAAATAAGAAAGTGTTGATTTGCACAGTATATACCCACTTTCAGAAATGAGAACATTCCCACTTTTGGCCTCCAGTGATAAACATCACTGGATGTTTAGAGGTAATTAGTGGTAGCTTTGGTATTGGGTCACTTTTCCTTAAACATACACTGGAATCAGGCTCATTTTCTTTCCTTTTGTATTCACGATAAAAGGAAAATGTCCAAAGCCCTTACACCCTCTTCAATTTCAAGTTTTGAAAAGTCCAGCTCCCATTTTTTTTGTATTTCTTGCATCGATGATTGTCTATTGTTACACATTTTCAGTTAAACCATCAATTTTTTTCCTTATACACAATTCTCACTCACACAAATATTCTCGTTCCACAGAAATTGGCTTCTGGAATTTTATCAACAGATAACAAATGTTTTCTTCTAAAGGAAACCCAAGTCTCCAGGAGCAGTTGAGGGAGGTACTTTATTTTGGGAGAGTTAGGAGGGTTAAATAAGTCCTGTATATAAACATTAGGCTCATCCAGTTGGAGCAGAGTTAGACAGAGTCGGAGCGGGGAAAGGAGGTACAGCCAGAGCATGAACACTTTTCCTGAGGTTGCGAAAAGTCACTTCAAGGGAAGAGTGGGAAACAAATGTGGGAAGTTAGTCCCATCAGAAGGCTGCAACATGAAATTTTGCAGGTTCGGGCTTTCTTTATCTCCGGATTGGTTTTGTATCTCTTTCATCCAATTCTGTAATTCTCTCATTTATCTTTGGAATATGGGTATTATCTGGCTCCCACAAGCTAGATACTATCTTGTCACTGGACAGCTATGACTCCAAAAGAAGAATGGTTAGTTCTCCAAGTTCCTGATTAGCTCTTATTATCTTGCTCTTCCTGGGCACTAAGTTCTGCAGTGTTTTCCCATGAGCTGTGTTGTGAGCTGAGGTTACAAAAATACTTCTTTATGGATAACATTCTGCTTAAAGCTGTGTTCCACAAAATGGCTCTTCTGAGGCTAGTTGTCTATGAATATTGGCTCTGGTGGGCTCTATTCTGAATTCTCTATCAGACATTTCATAAATCTGCTGCTGCTCTGGTTCTGTTGATGGTTCTTTGTTTCCTTTGATGGTGTCATATTTCTCTGTTTTTTTTTTTTTTTTTTTTTTTTTTTTTTTTTTTTTTTTTTTTTTCCTTGATCTTTGTGGCTTTATGTTGATGCCTGGGCATTTGAGATGACTGCTACTTCTTTTGGGTTGCTTTGTCTGTGATGCGTGAGTGTGTGTGTGTATTCAGTTCTGTGTTGGATTATTAGCTACCACCACTACTTACACTCTGATTAGGAACTAATTTGTTGTCCTTTAGTTAATTCCAAAATTGGGGAAATTCTTTTGGGGACCAGTACTTGAACCCTGTGTTTGAGCTAAATTGCTGCTTTGCTGCTGATTCTCTTGGGAAGGCTTTTTTGTGT